TCCGCGATGTAATTACGGACATTTAAAAAAAAATTGAAGTCTCTAGCTCTTATATCTTCTGAAATCGACGCGTTCATACATACGGACAGACGGACAGACAGGGATCTGCCACGCCTCCTTCTGCCTGTTACATACATTTCAACAAAACCATTATACCCCGATTTCCCATTGAAAATTGGTTCAGGGTATAAAAATGTATGATGAAGTTTTTCGGAATAATTTGTTTTTTTTTTTTTTTGTATAACTTAAAAGATCCCCTATTCTATTTGGTCAATTTTTTGTTTCATTAAAAAAACGTTTCAAAATATTTGTAAAATTGCTATAAAGTTTTAAAGCCTTGCTGTGCCGATAATTTGTTCGTTACTGTATGTACATATTATTGGTAATAGTAATAATAACAGTAATAGAAATATAAATATAAATAAAAATAGAATTCTTCAAGATTCACTTCGATCAATGGTCACAGCAAAGGATTAATGTAATGAAGTCATTAATCAACAAGAATTTAGATAAGCGAGCACCAAAATAAATCCGTCCAGACTTGTTTATACAGATAAGTTTATGCTATTGAATGACTTTTGAGTGGTCTAATAGAGACGATCTGATACGGAGATAGTCTGCACTTCAAACGGCCTTATTTATGAATACCCTACAATCAAAAGTACACGAGATATTATTATTGACTTGATCCCAGAACGAAATTTTGATAGTAGATTACTCTAACTGTAACTGGATGGAGGGATGGAGTGTAGAAAGCAATTGATAATAGTAATAATAATTATAGTAATGTTTTTTTTATAGCAAACATTTTTCAACGAATTAAAACTGATTTTGAAACATTAGTTCATAACTGTGTAAAGATAATTATATTTTTTTTTTATAAATTTTTATTATGCAGCATTTGAAAATTGTTTATATCGAAAATTCTTTCGAGAACTTCTTAGGCCTTCCAGTTGGCCCAGGTGCGGATCTCGTTCCACAGGTTGTTGCCGGGGCACTCGGTGGAGCTGACCTGGCGATGGCCGTACAGAGTGTAGCCGGAGCTGATCTGGCCACGGGAGACGGCATCGGCCAGGAGACTCTTGGCAGCGCTGATCATGGCAGCGGTGGGCTTAGAGTTGCTGAAGTTGCCCATGAAGGAGATGCCAATGGACTTGGAGTTCCAGTTGGTGGCGTGGGCTCCCAGAACGTTCCAGCCGCGACCCTCATAGACGGCACCATCACCGCCGATCAGGAAGTTGTAGCCGATGTCAGCCCAGCCGAGGCTGTTCATGTGGTAGGACTGGATGTTGCGCAGCTCCTGGGCACAGGC